TTCCTGCACCCCAAGCCCCTCATCCCTAGCTCCACCCCAGAGCCTGCATCCCCAGCCCAGAGCCCCTCCTGCACCCCAACTGCCCGCCCCAGCCCCCTCCAAACCCGGAGCCCCCTCTTGCACCACAAACCCTTCATCCCCAACCCCAGCCCAGAGCCTGCACCCCGAGCCCAGAGCCCTGAACCTCTCCCGCACCCCAACCTCCTGCCCCCAGCCCAGAGCCCCCTCCCACACCCCAAACCCCTCATCCCTAGCTCCGTTGGGTCGCGGGCATCAACTATTTTCTTCAACTGGGTTGCCAGAAAAAAAAGGTTTAAAACCACTGCCCTAGAGAACTGGATTCTACCCCTGCCTCAGTTCCTGTGCAACACTGGGGAAGTCACTTAAATCAAACTTTTCACAAGTGATCACTAACTATTGGTACATCTCCAGAGCAAAAAACCCTCCGAGTCTGGATCAACTGATTCGGGCTCATGGGGTTCGTGTTGCAAGGCTAAAAATTGCAGTGTAGACATTCGGCCTCGGGCTGGAGCTTGGGCTCGGAGACCCTCCCCCCCTCACTGGGTTTCAGAGCCTGGGCTCCACCCTGAGCCTGAACATCTATGCTGCTACTTCTAGCCCTGCACCATGACTTTGGCAGGGGGTGGGGGGGAGAGAAAGAGAGAGAGAGAGAGTGTGTGTGTGTGTGTCCGCACACCCCCTGTGTGTTCCTCACTTTCTGGGTGCCTGATCCGAGCCTCTGGGGCAGTGATACTCAAACCTCAGTGGTTCAGGAGCCGAATTAGCACTCAACATTATCCAAAAGAGGCACAGTAGTTTGAGTCCATTGTATCATTTACTACAGTGTTACTGCTATTTAAACAGTATGAAATACAGAGGAAATAGTTATATATATTATTCTCACAGCAAATCAGTTAATAATTTAGTGCAAGCTGATAACATAATTGGTTAATAACCTAGTAAAAGCATCTCGACTGGTTAATAATTAAATCACAGTGTTTTAATGTTATGCGTTGCAAAATGCTACTTGCAGCTCCTGAGCTGTAGTCTGAGTTTCACTGCTCTGGAGTCGGATTTACAGAAGGGTTAAACACTCACAGATGCAACTGAAGTCAATGGGAGCTGGGCTTCGAACATACGAAGTGCGACATAATGTAAAGGAAAAACCTCTGAAAAAATCAGGTCCTAACCATCTCACCCCAAATTAGTAGATACTTTGACCTTAATCTCTCTACGCCTCAGTTCCCTACCTGTAAAATGGGGATAATACTTCATTCATCTCACGGGGCAGTCGTGAAATAAATAAATAAATGTTTGTGCAGCACACAGGTGCTATAGTGAGGAGCACCCCTGAAAAGCCTGTGAGGAAATTAATAATTCCATCTTCAGAGCAAGCGTAGAGTAAAGCCTGGGACCACACACTGAACACTGAGAAAACACTGAACAGCTGCTCATTAAATGAGTACCATCTAACCCAGGGGTAGGCAACCTATGGCACGCGTGCCAAAGGCGGTACGCGAGCTGATTTTCAGTGGCACTCACACTGCCCGGGTCCTGGCCACCGGTCCGAGGGGCTCTGCATTTTAATTTAATTTTAAATGAAGCTTCTTAAACATTTTTAAAACTTTATGTACTTTACATGCAACAATAGTTTAGTTATATATTATACACTTATAGAAAGAGACCTTCTAAAAACGTTAAAATGTATGACTGGCACGCAAAACCTTAACGACTCGGCACACCACTTCTGAAAGGTTGCCTGACCCCTGATCTAACCCGTGCACTGAATGAGGAAGGGTCCTGTGGTAAAAATGTATGTAATCCTGTAATTACAAACTATCATAATGCATATGCACAAGGAGACCAAGGTTGCACAGGCAACCCTAATTTTGGCATTTCTTCATTTTTGAGTGCTTGACTTTGCAACCTTCACTAATGTACTTTTAACATAGTTGTGTGTGTGTAATACAATACACAGTTCACTGTGGCATCAGTGATTTCCACGTTGCTACTACGGCCAACTTCCGCATGCTTTATACATGCAGTGCAGGTTTGATGGGGATACTGTACTTACTGAAGTGCTCTTCGATGCTGTGTAGCAGTGGTAAGTTGTGTCTTTCCACCATGTTGAAGGCTAGGCCCTTTTTCCCAAAACGACCTGTTCGCCCTATGCGGTGTAGGTAGGTCTCGAAGTCTGGACACTGCAACTGGTTTGTCGGGAGCTTGAAATTCACAACAATTGTGACCTGTTTCACATCAATACCTAAGAAAGGATGAGAGAGAAAGAGAGAACTCACTGATGAACTCCTAAGGCACCTGCTATTGCACCTGAAATAGGCCATGGCCATTAAAACCCATTAACAATAGGACCAATGTGTGCAGTTTCATTTCTGCCTATTGTAGTTATCTCAGTACTTCCTGCCCAATGGAGAACCGAGAATAACTATTACTGTTGGCTTGGGACACTCAGCTGGGAGGGGGCTACCCAATTTATATGCTCACTTCAAACGTGTTCTGAAAATCCTAAGCAAGTTACCTTGAAAAATGGGGTGAAGAGAAGTGGTAACGCCCAGAGTGTGAGCAGAACCTTTTGTATCTGAGAAGACATAGGTCCTCAGGTTACATCTACATTAACCCTTGCCTAAAATTTCCCACTGTTGCTACCACTGGTTCATCTTAGCTGTTGATAGTCGACTGCTTCCAATGACTACCAGTGTTTGTTAACCTCGCTCTGGGCAGGTCTAAACAAGATAGTGGCTGGCCAAGATTATCTTGCTCATACTAGAGTTTCCACCATTACTATTCACCAGGGAACTGAACCAGAAGTAGCTACAGTGAGAAATTTGGGGCGGGAGGGGGAGGGGAGAGAGGGGTAGAGTAGACAAAGATTTGGAAAAAATATTGGCCAATACTCATGTATGTTTGGGAACCAGAAAAATTTAACAAACTGGTATTCAAGAAGGAAATGTGATTTTCTTATTAATAAGTGGGTATCACACAATGAAAGTAACCAGCTTGGTCTGGACTGGAAGGCGATGCAACGCAAAGCACCAATTGAGGCTTTCCCACTTTACCCACCAGAGCCAATATAGACAGCACAGACAGGGATACCCTTATGGAAAGAATGACTCTGCACATGTGACTGGGATACGCTGACCTGGTGGAGCGATCTTCCTGCTTGCTGTGAGGCCAGGTAATATTTCCATACTCTACCCTTAGTGCCAGTCTAGTGATGCTTTCTTTTCTGACTCCATAGTTAAAGTTTCAGAGGGGCAGCCATGTGAGTCTGTATCCACAAAAATGAGGAGTACAGTGGCACCTTAAAGGCTAACAGATTTATTTGGGCATAAGCTTTCGTGGGTAAAAAACTGCACATCTGAAGAAGTGGGGTTTTTTACCCAAGAAAGCTTATGCTCAAATAAATCTGTTAGTCTTTAAGGTGCCACCGGACTCCTCGTTGTTTTTATAGTTAAAGTTGTAGGACAGTTCCCATTATAAGCCCCATATTGCACCTCTCCACTCTGCAATTTTTATTAAAACTGTCTGCATGCCTCAGATTTTTTTAAAGTTTGAGTTAATCTGACATTTGGGGGATATGAAACAAACAAGTGAGCTTTTCATTCTTCAAGCGATCTAACTTTAAAGATGTATATTTCACAAATCACTTCGTCTAAAAACAGCAAGTTTGGGGTTTTTTCCTTAGGATTTGTCCTCAATGTTCAAACAAGTTTTTCCTTCCCCTAATGAGGAGAATAATTTGAGTTGTATCTGAAAATTAACACCCCTGTGCAAAATCTGATCAGAACTACAAAACTTAGCTTGCTTCATGGATCTTAGAAACTTGGCTTATGAATTTGGCAAATTTTGTAAGTCCCAGGAGGAAGGAAGCTGTTCAGGCATAGGAAAATTCATACAATTTTTAATGCAACAAATTATGCAGGGAAGTTCTTAAGTTTAGAGAGTCTTCAGAGAAACAGTTATGCACCAGAAAAACTAGAGGAATATTTGAACTTCATAAAAACAAGCATCAACATGATATTTTAGATATATTGCAATTGTGCTACTCATCAAAATTGAGAATCACCAAGGAAATCCCAAACAAAAATTCAGATAGCTAAGGTTGAAAACATCTTCCTTAAACAAAGAAAATCTCAGCTGAACACTGTAGTTTTAAAGTCTAGGTGGTCAGGATATACAGAGCTTGGGTTCCACTAGCAATTAGTTCCATCCACCACTCGTACCCAACCTCTCTCTGTGCCTCTGATTTCCTTACCCCGCATATTTCATTTCTACATTCCTAAAAATGAACCACGTACTCCCATTATATCACCCTGTACTCTAAATACTAATGGGCAGACAACTCTCTACATAGAGTCATCTACACAACCAGAGCAGCTAGATCTTGCTCTCTTGCCTTCCACATCTGGGTTTGTCCATCCCAGAATTTAATCTTCCTTAGTTAAAACCGTATCTATCGTACATCTTTACAATTCTTTGGTCACGAGGATGAGCATCCCTTCATACATACTCCATAGGTGCCGACTCTGTGGGTGCTAGCACCCATGGAAAAAAATTAGTGGGTTCTTAGCACCCACTGGCAGCAAAGCTCCTTCCTCCCCCCAGCATCTCCTGCCTGTCGGCAGTTCTGCTGATCAACTCCTCCTGCCCCTCCCTCCCAGTGCATCCTGCACACTGTGATCAGCTGTTCCACGGCGGCATGCAGGTGGTGCTGGGAGGGAGGGGAGGAGCGGGGATGAGGTGTGCTCGGGGGAGGATGCAGAGCAGAAGTGGGAAGAGACAGAGCCGAGATGGGGCCTTGGGGAAAGGGGTGGAGTGAAGGTGGGGGCATGGGGGGTCGAGCACTCCCAGGCAGAGAGGAAGTCAGAACCTATGCACTCTTCACATTTTACATGCCTACTCTGATAATTTGTTTACAAAAGGTCCAGGTAACTTTTCCTTCAGCAAACATCAGGCACTGTACTACCTGGAGGATTTGATACAGCACCATCATACTGTTACTGGTACTCTTAATGGCCGGAACCTCCTCCCTAGTATAATCTGTTGCGCCTTCTGACCTGGGAGTCTCACCATACAGCACCATACATTGATTGACACTTTGCCTTTGTTCTGCCAGGAAAGTTCAGAGGGTGGTTTCCTGCTGCCTTCCCTCTGGTTTGTGGCTGCCATTGGTTAACTCCCTGATTTAATTCTTCCACCTTTTGATGGCATTTCCTCCATCAGGTTCCCAATGTAAGATAGATATATGAGGAGTCTCGGAGCTGTAAGGGAATTAAAATGCTAGGGGCCATTTCATGACGATGGATGAAATTCACAGTGTACTTACTATTCAGGATCGGAGAAAATAAGATAAATGTGACCCCACTTTTTTTCAATCTAAGGAGACATCAAAATATGTATTTGGAGATAACTCAATCAGTGGCAGAGTTATTACAATTCTTCTTTGAACCAACCCATTCAACATGTTGATCACACAGGTTTACACTCCTACAAAAGCAGCTGATGACAATGTGATCAGTGAGTTCTATGAACAGCTTGAAGAGACATTGAAATACCAAGCAAAGATATCTCCCTTATAATGGGGGACCTGAATGCAAAAGTTGGAATTATAAGCTCTCAAAAAGAAGTAGTGGGAAACAATGGTCTGGGTTTACAAAATTAGAGAGGAAGGTATTTAATTGAATTCTGCTGCGCTAATCACCTGGTCATTACAAACACTATCTACATCCAATACGACAGATGCATATACAGATGGAGGTCATCTGACAGTATGACAAAGAACAAATCAACTACATAATGATACAGCAATGCTGGAGATCAAGTGTCCAATGGATAAAGGCTTCCAATCAATCCTGAAATGGAATGGGTGAATATATAATGAAAATGAAGCCAGGGAAAGCACCCAGGGCACATAACATACCAGCAAGTCTGATCGGTGACTGCAGGATTGATCGCACGTGGAAAATTTGCAGCAATGTATGGATGACTAGAAATTGGCAGAATGAGTAGACGAAGGGAGTCTTTCTGCCCTTACCAAAGAAAGGAGGCATAACAGAGTGTAGTAACAGTTATATCATCTCTTGGATGTTGCATGAGAGCAAAATTCTGCTCTACATAATCCGGATTGCGTTAAGTGAATGATAGAAGCAGAACTACCACCACAAGCTCGATTCAGAGAGGAACAAGGCACATGTGATCAAATTGTGAACATAGATCACATCATCGAAAAAACATAGGGAGTACATTCACCCATTGATCATGTGTTTCACTGACTACTCAAAAGTACCCAATACTGGCCAACAACAGGACTGTCAACGTACCTTTGGTTGAGTTACTACAGGGTCTACACTGTGGAGGGTCAAAGACTTACCTTACTCTTCTCGTCGGGGGTAGAGTACAGGGGTTGACTGGAGAGCAATCTGCTGTCGATTTGGTGGGTCTTCACTAGATCCACTAAATCGACCTCCGGTGGATTGATCTCAGAGCTTCGATCCCGGCTGAAAGTGTAGACCTGCCCTTTGAAGTTTGTAGTAAGATATCTGTAACCTTTGAATGGTTAATTGCCTGTGCTAATCAATCCAACTAATTACCTGTGTGTACATAAGAAATAGGAACGGACTTCAAAGCAACAATGTAAATTATTCTTCATCTATTCTTCATCCAAGGAATGCCTGTTGTGACAAGAGGTTTATCAGCTGAGCTTCTGTTTGGACTTTGTCAGGAGATGGTTAAGTCGCAAGACTGAGGTCTCCAGCTCCATTCTGGATTATTCTGCAATTTCTCATGGAAAAATGTAAACAAACTGCACGTGGACTGCCCATTGGACTACAGCCTATGGAACTGATTCGAGAAAAACTTTTTACAACTCTGCAGCTTACCATCTCTGCTATGAAACTGACCTAAGACCTTCATTCATATCTGTATGTATAATGATTTTCTAACCACAACAAGTCATTTTTGTTTTAATAAATCTTAGATTAGTTAATAAGAATTGGCTGCAAGCATGTATTTGGGTAAAATGTGAAATATTCATTGACCTTGTGGGTATAGTGTCCAATCTCTTGAGATTGGTAAAACTTTATATATGATGAATAAGATTCTAAGTAATCCTCACCATATTTGACTTGGGATCCCAAGGCTGGATTGCTTTAGGGGAGCTGTGTTTTTGGCTTCTGGGTAACGAGTAAGGTGTTGTAGAAGCTGTTTTGTTGCTGGCTTGGTGAATGTAATTATTAGAATAAACCACCATTTTGGGGATAGTCTGGTCTATTCTTTGCAGTTTGTCCTGATTGAACAATCTCAGTGAGGCCCCTCCAGAAACCACAGTCACAATGACGCTCTTTAGTCCAACTACTGATAGAATGCAATGAATGTTGGCGTCTGCAAAGGACAGTTAGTGAGGAATAAGGACTATCCCTGAATACGTGAAACACACGATTAACAAAACCAGGATGCAAGCGGACACCACAATTGTAAATCAAATTGTAGAGGCAGTAGATGAATTAAATTATCTGGGATCAAACATATCCAACCAGAGAAAGAATTCCAAAGAAATCAGAAGATTAGGAATGACATGCTCAGCCAAGCCTCCCACGTGAACGTGTGGAAAAACTGTGGAATCCTGAAATGTACAAAGGTTCAATTGGTGAAAAGCTTAATTTTCTCAGTAGCAAACCATGGAGGTGAATCATTGGAAATTAATGCTGCTGACAAGAAAACTGAAGCCTTAGAAATGTAGTGCTGCTTGCAAAGACTCTCGAGTATCTCCTGGACAGAAAATTAGAGGAGTGCTTACGTTAGAAGCATTATTGGGGAAAATAGGACCATGTTGTAAGAAGTCAACAGGTACAAACTTATGTACTTTGGTCACTTCAGGCACAGAGATGGAAATAACCTTGAGAAAATTGTCATGGCAAGAATGGTGACAGGTCATTGTAGTAGAGGATGACAAGTGAGGAGATGGAAAGATGGAATGCGGCAGATCACTGGAAAGTCAGCTGCTGAGTGCTGAAAGCTAGCAATGGATCAAGAAGGTTTCTGAAAATTATCCTACGAGGTCATTTATATTCAGACAAGAATAAATGAGTTTTACTTATTTAAAACCATGACCGTTTTCACATTTTACTTCTCGCTTGAATTCACAAGCACCCTCCACCTCTAGTCATCATTCCATTACAGGCCAGAAAGGGCAATTTAACTTGGCCACTTCTCTATACAGACAAGAACCACTATAATCAAGCATCTTTTTTATGCATGTTTGCCATTCTGGCACTGACATAAAAGCTAAAGCTAAATACCTACCCTGACCCCATCCATTCCATAAATACTGTTTGCAGACCCGATAGACCCTTACCGTTCCAGAGAGGACAAGGGCAGCTGATATAAATACATGTTGCATTACTTTTTTCATTGGTCATTTTAAAATGTTAAACTACTTTAAAACAAAACCAGGAAAACTTCTCTGTATTGCTATGAAGATTATACACATTGTGATGGAGTATGAGAACAGAGTTAAGTTGTTTATGGAATTTCAACTTTGAACTCCCGGACTTTCAAATATTTATTTTTTCTAACAACATTCTAATAAGGTCTTTTAGTTTAATGAGTGTATATTGTATAGTTTTTATACACAACACTATCTCAATGGGTTTTTGTGGATGAAAATCTCTACCCAAAGGATCAATTTACTGAAGAAAATCTGCCTTTACCTCGGAATACTATATTTGTTGTGACTGACTTTTCTGACAGGGCAATTGTAACACATGCAAATTTTGACTGCCTACATTAGCAATTTCACAACTGTAATTCACCGTTTGTGGAAGCTGTAGTGTAAACAGGACTCAGGTATTTATACCACTGTGTGGTACCAGCTGTGAATTATGGCTATAAAGTGTTTGCTAGTGTAGATAAGGCTACAAAGTCACTACAAGCAACACCATCCTGAGAAGCAGGCATTGAGCTGTATACAAAGGGGTTATAAACAGAATTACAATTTTTAACTTGATCTGGCTGGAATAAGAAATCAGTCTGGTGTTATTTCTGCAAGCTATAGGAATCAGCATTTGCTCTGCCAAACACTCACTGAATTTATATCTAGAAATCCACAAAACCCCACCAATTGACCACTGGACTCCAACACTGTGTGTGACAACAGTGTGGCAGAAAAGCTTATGATGAGGTCTCTATATGTGAGAGATTACAGGATTCCAAGCAGCTGTCATCATCTTCTGCACCCCACAGTGGGTTTTCGGTGTGCGTGGTGGATTACGTAATGCAGAACAATAATAATCTTGCATGCCCTGTGTGTACCCCATCTCGAAAAACAAAGCTCTCAGTACTGTAATACTTCGAGAAACAAATGGATTAGCTAAAGACAATACCTCTAGCACAGACATTAGTTGTGACAAGGACCTTCTCTTTTCCATCACGAAACCTTTGGATTACAGCTGCCCGTTGCTCAACTGTCAGCTCCCCACTCAGGATAGACACTTTGTGCCCATCCTGACTCAGTTTCTGCGATAACCATTTGGCATTCCTACGAGTCTAAAAACAAATGCAGGAAGAAAGTACATGAGATAAAATCTCCTTGGGAGGAAACATATTCCCTCCCCTTTAAATCACTTGCAAACATCATACTTATGTATTCCCTAAAATACTTTATTCCTTTTTTCATGGCATTTCAGAGGAGTGTCTGTCTGGCACTTCACAGGCAGAACCTGTGGGCTCACAGTCCAAGTCCTACTAGCACACCATCAATTTTTCTGGGAGCCCACTCAGGCCCCACTATTTGAGAAATACTGGATATAGGGAGATGTCCATGGACTTTGCTCTAAGGCTATTTCTGTTTCTAAAAAGAGCAAAAGTGATTATGCTGGAAACCAGCTGGAAAACAAAAAATTAGTTAAAACTATGGACCACGTCTATAGACCAAACGGAGACAAATTAAATTAGGATGGCTTCAGGAAAGATTTAGCTGAATACAAGGGAATGGTAATGGCCTACTGTTTAGCGAAGACAGAACTAGCATGAATTCCACTTAAACAGGATGTATTCAGCTGGTGCTAAGTGGTTACTACTGTGAAATTCTGAACCCTCGCCTTTAAATACAGTAGATGGAGAACTAAAAGTTCCAATAAAGAAATTGTGTCTTGGATTCTTGTGTGCATGCACGTGTGTGTCACTGCCTTACATTTAAACAACCTGAAGTGTTTGATTATCAAAATTGCTCTACACAGGGGTTGGGTTTTCTTTTCTTTTTTTAATACTACAACATTAAGTAGCTGAATTTAGAAAATACAAAGATTAAAAGCCTCAGTTCTGTTTGTTTCCTTTAATTCTTTTATGCAGGTTTCCAGCTGCTTTTCTAGTCTCTTCCTGTTTCACCAAAACCAGGGAGGGAAAGATTTTCTCTGGGATCTGCTGTGAGAGTTGGGCGCAGCCAGTCTCACACAGGAGCCTGGAGGAAGAAACTGGTTAGGAGCTGATATGTTTCCTGACAACACAATATAGGTCAGGACTCCAAAAGGACAACAAATTGGGCCAACAACAGCAGGTGAAATAGACAAAGAGCAGTTGGTGTAATGGAATCCTGCGGGGGCTCTGACTTATCTGTAATCTCTCAGTATACCTAATATAATAATGTGTGTGCTGGCAGAGAGCCAGAGTGGGAAAAGTCAATTGGCACCAAATGTAATAAGGGGCAGGAAATTAGAGAGGCTAATGACACTTCATCTAGCCCTTTCAGAACACAGGTTGGGACAGTGTAGGCTGACAGAGCGAGTGACTCAGCATTCCCAATGTTCACGAACACAAAGGGTGAAGTTCAGTTGATTGCTCTAAACCAGAGAACTTTAAGAGTAAGTGCACATGGCCTGTTAGATCCTAAAGCAAAGAATATGAATAGGGCCCTACCAAATTCACAGCCCATTTTGGGCAAATTCATGGTCATAGGGGGATTTAAAAAGTCACAAATTTCATGATTTCAGCTATTTAAATCTGAAATTTCATGGTGTTGTAATTGTAGGGGCCCTGACCCAAAAAAGGAGTGGAGTGGGGGGGGTTGCAAGGTTATTGCGGCGCGGGTGCCGTATTGCTACCCTTACTTCTGCGGTGCTGCTGGCGGGGCGCTGCTTTCAGAACTGGGCACT